GAGCCTAGAGCCTAGAGCCAGGGCGCTTTCATTGCACGGTGGAGCTTCTTGTCTCGGGAAACACCGGGCGTCCTTGCTGCCCCCTAAGGGGAGGGCGATTCTGGGCTGCGCGATTGGGGGACTTCGTGGCTTTGGGTGGGTGGGTGGGAGCGAGGACGGACGGAGTCCGTGAAGTGGGGCTTGCCTGCCCTTGCTGGCTGCCTCTGCTTCCTTAGGGGCGGGGAAGGGGGCTCATCTGGACCAAGGGTGAGTCTCCCCCTCAGTTTCCCCTGAAGGATCTTCCGTCGCTTTTGCCTTCTCCCTACATCTTCCCTCTGTTAAAAATCCCCCCCTCCCACACTTATTTTCGGGTGGATAGATTTCGTGTCTGAGCATTCTCACATGGCGGTGGGTCTTTCCCCCCCCTAAAAACAGTTAAAAAAAGAAAAAACAATATATCCTCATGCAAGAACTTTTCTGCTTCCGATTACCCCCATGCTTAAAAGTTGCAAAGGAAACACGGAAGCAGGGAAGCGGCTGCCCAGCTCCGGAGCTCCACACCATTTTTTTTCAGAGGGGAATCTGACTCGAGTATAAGCCGAGGGGGGTTTTTTCAGCACAAAAAATGGGCTGAAAAACTCGGCTTATACTCGAGTATATACGGTAGATTCCAGGCTCAAGTCCCAGCATCTCCATGCAAAACACTCTTTTTTTCCGGACAATAATGAGCAAACTATACCGATCAAACTTGTAGAAAGGAATCCTTTGTGAAAGCCGGTGTGATGTTGGCATTAAGGTGCTGCATGCGGATTAGGAAAACGCAGATTCAATCACTCTGGGCCAGTTTCTATCTCTTTCCCTTTCTCTCTGCATAACCTGATACCTCTGACAGGTATTGCTCTTGTTGGTAGTGGGCATCCGGAAGAAGCAGGAAAAGCACCCTCAAACCAGCAGTGTTAGCTTAGAAAACAGGTAGCAGTTGCTTTCTGTTCGTGCTGCAACCCCTCTCCCCTTAACCAGCAAATGTGAGCAAATGTTAACAGCTACCAGCCTATCAAGGCACATGTTTTCTTATAATAACTCTGCAAAGCAGGAGTGGATAATCCACGGGCTGCTTAGAGCCCCTGGATACCTTTTCCTGTCTCTCTCTCTCTGGACAGATGCAATTTTCTGATGCCAACTGATGAAAAGCAAAGATAAAAACTGCTTAATCCTTCAGATAGGTTCAACATACCCAAAGTTTTCATAACAGCCCCAACCCATCATCACTTCATCCCAAGCCAGATAAGATATTAGGCTGTGGTCCTGTGTGTGTGTATGTGTGTATGTGCATGTGTGTATGTATGTATGTGTATATATACACACACACACACACATATATATATACATACATACACACATATCGTGTTTCCCCAAAAATAAGACCCTGTCTTATATATATTTTTTGCCACCCAAAAGGCACCAGGTCTTATTTTCAGGGGATGTCATCCACTGATTAACCTCACTTTTGCGTGTCGCCCTGGCCTCCTTTTCACTGTCAGAGGCCTTCTTCTTTGGCCAGCAAGGCTTTCCTGAAGGCCTTTGCAGCCAATAACAGAGCACTGGATCAATCCAGAGCTTTTTTATCAGCTACAGAGGCCTTCAGGAAAGCCTTGCCAGCCTTGCTGGCTGCAGAAGAAATGGGCCAACAAGGCAGGTGTCGGGGTGGTGCGAGGCCTGGCTGCAACTGTCCAAAGGTAAGTAGTAGGGCAGCCCCACTCCCCCATCCCAACCCTAGCTTAATTTTTATCTGTACACTCTGGAGTGGGTGCATTCTTAATTAGGGCTTATTTTGGGGGGGGGGGTAGAGCTTATATTGGGCACATGTGTAAAAATCAAGCTAGGACTTACTTTCAGGGTAGGTTGTATTTTGGGGAAACACAGAAATATATCTGTGTGTGTGTGTGTGTGTGTGTGTGTGTGTGTGTGTGTGTTGAGTACCCAATTCAATGAGTTTCAAAGCAGTTGAGTACCACACACACACACACACACACACACACACACAAATCCATGTTAACATAAAATGTGTATTTAATGTCTTACTCAGGTGCTTTTTTAGTTAAATTAAAATGCATACTAGTCTGTGTGCGTGCAGAAAGATATAGTGGAAATAGTTTTAGGATAGCATCAGGATGTGTACTACCCTTCTAGAGTCAAATTTATATTCTAAACCTTGGTATTTTTGAACCTTGTAGAAGAAATGTAAAATTTGGTGATTAGATTTTGTGTTTCAAGATTTCAAAATGTATGTTCAGAAAACAAAGATTGCAGAGCTTATTATACTATTGGATCAAAGTAGGCCCATGGATGAAATCTGTTCTTTCAACCCCTCAACATGAAAATACATGGCCCTTATTCACTACTTCAAGGAAAAGGCTGCAACTTACCTCATAAATATAGTCAAATACTTCCAGAATAGTGAGGATACTAGCACCAATAAAAAGACCCATCTGACCCCCAATATCACCTGGGGAAGAAAGTGGAAAAAAAAACCCAGAAATAGATGTTTTAATCTTGCATTTTAATGCACATCAAAGTAAATTGCTTGGACTAGAAATAAGGCCCCTCAGCTAAGTAAACTAAAATCTATTTTGAGCATTTCTATGCTATCTGTAAAGAAAAAAGAATGCCTCCTCTTCCTCCTGCATGGAATTCCAGATCACATATTCCTTATTAGAAGGATAGACCAGGGGTTGCCAACCTTTTGGACCTCAGGGACCACCAAACTCATAATTTTAAATCCCGCAGACCACTAATATGAATTTTGACTGACGGTGGCTTGCTGACGTTGTGGGAGAGAGAGAGAGATCCGATCTAACCTTTGAGGGCTGGCGGTGATGTTCTCTCTCTTTCTCCCTCCCCCCTCCCTCTCTCTCTCTCACACACACACACATACAGGTCTCTCACACTCCCACCCTCTCCAAGACAGCCACATTCCTAACCTGCTTTTCAGCTCCATTCTCAGGGGGAGAGAGAAAGAGACAGACAGACAGACAGTATTCTGCTATCCCAAATAAAGAACGATCAATCGGTAGGAAAACGGGGTGGGGGATTTTCTTGCAGACTATTTTTGGGATTTTCCCAGGGTCTTTGGATCACAGGATACCGTTTCCAGCTCCATTCTCAGGGGGCGGGGGGAGAGAGAGAGAGACTTTTGGCTTCATGCAAGGAAAGCAGCAGAAGCAGCAGAAGTCTTTCTTTCTCTCCCCCAAACTCCATCAGAAATGAGTCTTTGCCGGTGCAGCCTCTTGGAGCAGGATGCCTTGCAGGGTCCCAAAGACTCATTTCTGGTGTTGTTTGGGGGAGAGAAAGAAAGACTTGCTGCTTTCCTTGCATGCAGCCAAAAGCAGAAGAAGAAGCAGAAAGCAGCAGCCTGGTGGCCAGGCGAGGTGCATGGGGCAAGTAGGACAGGTTCCCCCCTCCGTCCTTTTCACCCTCCCCTCACTACCTCATGTTGTTCGCAATGCAAGCCTTGTGTTCCCATGGTCCATGTGGGCGGTGCAGCCTTGTGTTCCTGCGCAGCCTGGATTAATTGCTTTGGGGGGGGGGTGCTTTGGGGGTGACATTTCTCTGTGGACCACCCAAATTTTCTCGCAGACCACCAGCAGGCCACGGGCCACTGTTTGGCAACCACTGGGATAGACCATTTCTTTTTCAAAACCAAGATCCAGAGCAATGCAGTTTTTAGATTTCCAATTACAGCTGTGTAAGTAAACTCTGCATTGATTGGCTCCTGGGACAAAATTAAAGCCACTCTTCTCCTCTTCATTAGAGTTTCAACTTACTTTCTCCAACATTCCAGATATGATCATTCCTGGTCCTACTCTAATTCCTATAGTACTTCCCTCTTCCCCAGTTTAACAAAGAGTTAAACTAAATTAAACTGCCAGGTGCTTGAACATAATGCCTCATTTTAACAGGTCAAAAGCCTATCCAAAGCAAGATCTCAGTGCACAGGATAAAGACATAAAGACTTATGCCAGGATTGCCATAAGGTATTAGTGTCAATTAAAAATAAATAAATGAAAGAGTTTGGATTAAAGAAAAGAAGTAATAAAAGAAAAAAAACCCTACAGTTGTTGCAGAAGTGTATGCACACAAACATACCCCCTTCTTTTTCCTGTCATTATCACAGATGATCTCTATACAAACAGGAAGAAATCTCTGTTTATTGTTTAGAAAATAAAAGGCTTACATCTCCATGACAACAGGGGATATGATTAAATGCAGCCAACAAAGGCTTTGGACACACAAGCCAAAACTCAAACTCTGTTCTTTTCACTCATACAAGGTTTGGGATTTGACTTCCTAAGTATTTATTAGGTAGATGGATGATAAACCAGAGCTTCTATCATGGCAACCCATATTTTCTCATCTTCTTCAATAGTGTTACTGGTTCTATGATTTGAGGTGCAATCCCATAGTTAGGATACCTAAATAAAGGGCCAGACGATTTTGAAAGAGACTTGATACATTAATGGAAATCCAAATAACAAATATTTCAAATATAGCAACAGAAAGGTATGTCTCCTTTAAGAGATAGGTGCAACCCTGTATTAGTCCAAGATCCGATGCAAGAAATCTCCCTGTTATGGATTCTAGTCTCATCTTTCTTTGCCTGCTTGGCAAAAAAATGAAGTTTCATTTTTGTTCTATTATTTTCCTTTATTGTTTCATTATTTTCTAAGAACCGTAGCCTCCTTGCCATCTCAAACATGCCTTATTGTGCCTTAATTAAGAAAGCTTCACATCAAGACTGGATAAGGCCCAAAAAAGAAAATAAGAATAGCGGACATGGACGATACTCTTCTGATAGATAGATTTACTTGGAATATTTAAAGTTGTGCAAGCAGATAGATCTTCATTTTCCAACGTTCTCATTTTGCCTGCACAGACTGGCATAAACTTCATGAATTCATACTATGATTCTGAGCTGGTGGAATCAAGATTTTTCTGAGCTCAGCATAGAAGCCCCATAATAATGCAGGTAGTCCTTGATTTATAACCATTTATTTAGCGACTGTTCAAAGTTACCACAACACTGAAAAAACTGACTTAACAATGGGTCCTCACACTTATAACCACCATAGCGTCCCATGTGATCAAAATTAAGTACTTACGATGATGCAGAGTCATGTGGTAAAAGTGGCAAAAAAGGTCGTAAAATTGGCCGTGACTCACTTAACAATTGCCTTGCTTAATAATGAAATTTCTGGTCTCAATTGTGATTGTGCGTTGAGAACTACCTGTAGTCCAGAGTAGTCCAGTGATGGTAAAGACTCCTGGATCAGATTTATTCAGTGGTCAAAGTAATAAGGAGAGCCATTTGCTGCCTATAGCATTTCTTAAGGGCTTGTTGGGTTTGTCCCTCTCTGTCTCCCTGTGCCCATGTTGCTTTGTTTCTGTTTCCTGTTGTTCCTCACCAACTGACAGGAGTTCCCCGGGATTAGTTCATGGGGCTGACCTCCGTATTGTTTACAAACTTCAAGCATGTTGTGTATGTGCACAGAATATTTACTCACCAAGTAACGCTGCCACTTCATATGCTTTCCTCTGCTCAATGGTCTCATAGTTAAGAGCTTCGAAGAATATATCCAGTACAAGTATATTCTCCCTAAGAAAGAAAACAGGTAGCCCGGAGGACATCAACAAGAAGCAATTCATTCCTTGAGAGTAAGTAATTGGTGGAGAACATGCCAGTGTTCCCAGTGTTGTTCAACTGAAATTCACAAATGGTGCAGAGGGTCCCATGTATCCCATTCCTCCCTTATAGTTTCTTGATAAACAGAACATTCACTCTTCACTTATCCACTCCCTTTTCTTGAATATTTGTTGCAAATGAGCAGGTGATTAAGAATAAAAACTGTTTATAGACAACCCTGATTCCCTTGGAGACTGAGAAGAAGAAGGATGCCACAAAGTCCCAGTAAACGATAGGAATGCTTCACTAGGTTTGATCTCCCTTCTCAAAACTGGCACTTTCCATATATGCTGGTGCTATAATTCACAAAATGCCTAAAATTACAGTCCTATCGAATTGTACCGTCTTTCTGTTTCCCACAATAAACAATGATTTGGAGGCAGTAACTCTTTGAAGCTATTGCTATTCTCAAAACTGATAGTCAGGTGCAGACTCTAATGAACCATGCTAATAATTTTACCAATGGTCTAAAATATAGGTCTGAAGACTGTGGATTTTGATTTGACCATTTGTACAAAGCACCTTGGCTTCAAGGAATATTGATTGAAAAAAATAGCCTATCAGGATACAATAATTGATTGTATGGACTAAACCCAAGATACGGTGTCCTATAAAATCTTGACTTCCAATATATCTCATCTAATCAGTGCAAGGACAGAACATTTGCATCTATTCTAACTTACTGCTTGTTTTGACTGTGTACCTACTTCTGGATCTCCTGACCTTTAACTGGAGACTTTAGATTGTGTCTTCTATCTATGTTTGATTAGGTACTTGCTTCTAACACTGAATCTTGTTTGATACTCTGGAAACCCTAAATTTTTATGACTGAATTTGATTTCAAGTTCAGGTTGGTGGCTTATTTAGTAGCCTTAGTAGTGTTAGGAATGTAAGTCACCTAACAGTTATTTGGGTTGGAAATATATAAACTAGGATAGACATTTTAATACTGTATCTTTAAGAGAATGCTAAAACTGTAATTGGGTGTGGTTCCACAAATGGCCATAAGATGGAGCCAGAAACCTGGGTTGTTTAGTCTCAGTGAAGTGTGTTTCCTTCTGTTGGAGAGTTTTGCGGTTCCTCCTAAATGACTGTTACTGATCGTTGATATAAGTCTGTTACTGAACTGTTTTTTGATACTGGACTTTGGTATTTGGATTATCCCTGAATTGAAAACTGACTGCTTTACCTATGAATGACTTGGACTGCTTGTTTGGACTTTGCTTAAATGTTTATTGGCAGTAAAAACCTACATTTACTGTACAGTGTATCTGTGTGCTGTTTGTGTGTTATTCTTTACCACTCTCACTACGTCTCCCTGTATGCGCTCATTCTCCTAACAGGGAATTACCTCAACAAGTAGCAAATAATACCTCATGCTTCTGAAATTCTGAAATCTAACAAAGCTGGAAACTGATACCTGAATGAATCCCAAATGAGCAAATCCTAATTGATACTTGACAATAACCATGATAATTTTTTTTTATTACACAACTTCCCTTTGGCTTACTTTACTTCATAAAATGATTTTTCCAGCCCTTTTAAAACCAGGATTACGTACGAGATATATTTCTCTGACTTGTTAAACTTCTTCTCAAGGTATTTAGCCGAGGTCTTGCTGGGGATCTTAACCATGGACAGTTCCTTGTTGTAACGGGTCAAATTGCATGGGGTTTGGCACTCACAATAATCATTTCCCTTTTCACCGAGAAGCACTGTAAGGCAAAGCAAGAACCAGATAGGTTGATGAGAGATGAGAGATTAAGCTAGACCTGCATTACGTAACATGATGCCTTTTAGTTGAGGTTGACTATAATTCCCATGATCCCACCCAGGCAACATCAGAGGGATTATACGCTCATGAACTTGTAGAATATGCTTTTGGAGAAGGCAGATTTATACCCACACAGTAATAGCTCGGGCAATGTCCCAAGAATGTTTTATGTAACTCATGGCAGAGATATCTGGGAACCTATTGTTCTTCTTTCTGTTCACCAAAGACATTCATTAAAGTTCTATTATTAACAATCATAGCTAATAAAAGCCACTGATAGGGTAATCCATTATGAATTCTCTCCTCCTTTTAAAAAGTCTATCAAAAGTCCAATTTATATGCTGTAGTGATGGTGAGCTTGCTACCAGAAATAGCCTCTGCCTTCAATTTTTTTCTTTGCAGTAATATATGGAAACTTGTTCTTAAATTATACTCCACACTCAATTTTATGCAACTTTATAAATGAAACCGAAATTTACAAATATATATATATCTTAAGTTTTCACGGGTATTTATATGTATGGTATTCAGCTTTGTTCGGGTATTTTCCCACGTCATTATAGTTGTGCTTTTAAAGTTGTAGCGACGTTTCAGCAGAATCTCACCTGCCATCATCAGGCTTCTGTATTGTGTTCGTCTGTGAGTCAGACTTTTACAGTTGTTTCAGTTTTAAATTTGGGGCTAGCCTACTGTTGTGCCAGAATGGTTTTTTCTTCATCCTGATTGGTTTGCTAAGTGTTTAGCTAGGTTTCGTAGTGGTGCTCCTCTGGAGCTGACTATGGGTCTTTGTGTATTTTTGCCTTCTTTGTGTATTTTTGGGAGGCTGTATAGTTTGGGGCATCTAGAAGATGTCAGACCTACTCCAAGACTCCACATAAAAACCCATAAACACAAGAAGAAAATTATAACCAGCCACATGAGCAAAGAGATCCAACAGACGATCATCCCAAGAGAAAAATCTTCCAGATGCCCCAAACTATACGGCCTCCCAAAAATACACAAAGAAGGAATACCTCTCAGACCCATAGTCAGCTCCAGAGGAGCACCACTACAAAACCTAGCTAAACACTTAGCAAAAC